TGTCAGTGGATGAATTTCTGGAACAACAAGGATTCATTCGACAAAAAGCCGACCCCTGCTGTTGGGGACTCTTTGATCAAAGTCAGAGACCTATAGCATGGATCTGCTCACACGTCGACGACTTCTTGTTTGGAGGTGCCGAAACCGACTTGCGCTGGCAACATGTGAAATCAGCCATCACTACCCGGTTCAAATTTGGAGAGTGGGAGAAGGGGAAGTTCGTACAGTGTGGTGTGAACATTGAACAACGAGAAGACTTCTCCTTCAAGATCTCACAACCGGAATTCCTGGAGCAAGTGTCAGAGATCTACATCCCAAAACAAAGAAGCAAAGACCTTGAAGCTTCCGCCTCACCCGAAGAACAGAAACAGATGAGAAGTGCTCTAGGACTAGATTCTAGGATGTTTAGCATGGCATGCGGGGCAACTGGCAATGGAGCTTAGTGCCCCTACGGGCCTTCTCCTTTCGAAAGTGCCCAAGGCCCAGGTGGCCGACCTTCTTGAAGCAAACAAGCTTCTTAAAAAGGCTAAGGCCAGGCAAGGGCAACGCATGATCATACATACCTTGAATAAAGAGGATCTTATGTTGACAACTTGGGTTGACGCTGCCTATGGCAACAGGCCTGACTTGAGCAGCACCAAGGGAGTGTTGATTGGATGTACAGATTCCAGGATCCTCCAAGGAGAACTCTCACAAGTCAACCCCATCTTTTGGTGTTCCTCGAAAATCTCGAGGGTCTGTCGTTCGAGCGCATCAGCAGAAACACGAGCTGCTGTGGATGGGGAAGACCAAATGTATGCACTTCGATTCCAAATGGCTGAATTCCTTGGTCACCATGGAAATGAATGGTCCCCTGATGAAACGGTCAATAAGGTCCCAGGTGCCCTCGTGAGTGACAGTCGTAACCTGTACGATCGACTTTCTTCCACCGTTTTGACCTTGGGAGGAGCAGAAAAGCGAAGTGATATAGAAACCCTGTGCTTGAAAGAGGCCCTGAACGCCAACCAGGTTCACCTGAGGTGGGTGAACGGAGAAAGTCAGTTGTCGAATAGCCTCACCAAAGACAATGAACCTCACCAGATTCACATGTTCAATGAACGAAGTGGTAGGTGGCGGATCGTTTACGATGAGTCCCTGGTTTCTGGTCGAAAGAGGAAACAAGATGGGAAAGGACCTCTTGATTGAAAGTGGCACTTGAATTTTTTTAATAGTATGGACCCGTGCAGAATTTGCATTCAAGGGTCACGAACTCACTCGTTCCCGGTGATCTCGTCCCGACTCAAGCGCCCCACTTAGCAAGGACAGAAACAATTCCTTCCGAGGGGTACTTGCGCCCGTGTGCTTCGCATATATATATATATGATATAATAGTACGGTCTGTAGGAACTGCAAACTTTGCCAAGCAAAAGATCCCCAGTTCAGTCTACAAAGAAACTATCTAAGAATCAGCCCGCTCCTGCGCCTTGAAAACGGGTGTGCTTCTTTTTCAGATGTACCCTGAGTTCATGAAAGTTCTTGGAGACGATCTCTCTTGTGTCCATGTCACACGTCACGTGTCTTCCTCGCAGCAATAGCGGCTCCCAGCACTTTGCGGGATTCTGTGACGAGGGTGTCTTCCTCGCGGAGAGCCATGAAGACGGTTCTCTCGCCGCTCTGTCCCCCAGGCCCAAAGCCCCAGAAGCGCCGACCCAGACCAGCAGAGGCGATCAGCTCAGTGAGTCCAGCGACGAATGAGCTTCCGGGGTCCTTCAGTCCCGATAAGCAGCCAGTGCGTGCCACGCGTGCTTCGCCCAAGGTCTGGAGACCCAGGTCGCGCAGGTGGTTGGAAAGAATTGATGCTCAAATGTTTTGGAAGGTGTCCACTGAATCACTGGAAGATCTCTGTACGTCAGATAGATTAAGCAAATAGGAGGGGCTCCACTTCTACTGAACTGGTTGAGAGGCTGAGAAGACCGGGCTGAAAGGAGCTCTTTTGGAGAACTTGTTTTTTGTTTTGTTTTTCGGCTGGAAACGGTACAAAGCATGCATTTTGGAATAAGATGTATCTTAAGGTATCTCCGAAATATTGAGATTGTCAAGTCCGGTTGTTTTTATTTTTTTTGTTTTAAATAGGTTGTTTTATGTTGTTTTTTAGACTTTTAGACCCAGATTCAGAATGGGTGCATGTTAGGCTCCCCAGCCTGAAAAGATTTTTGTAACCGCTGGATAACTGGATGTAGTGACTTGGAGTGTTGCAGAATAGCTCCTGAGCCACTCCATTTTCTCGTTCAGTGAGTTCTGCAACTCGATGCAAGTTGCTCTCTTCAGTGGCAAGCACTGGCAGTTGCAAGCTGTTTCCACCGGATCATTCAATGAAATTAGCTCTTCAAATTACTTCTCTCCAACCTTGGAAACGCACCATTTCAATGGTGAATGGTGTGCGATGATTGCGTTTGGGTCAATTTCGAGGACTTTTTTGAGTCGTCAACGAGGGGATTGATGGATCCATGTTTACACCCTGGGAGTTCTGTCCATGTGGGGCCCCTGCCCCACAAGGTGACCTTTCAGGAACGGCTACGCATGACAGGCGTATGAAGGTCTCCATTTCGACTGGTCGAACACGTCGAACAGTCGAACGTTTACCCTCAACCTGCCAGGTCGATGTGGTCGATGCTCCCGACCTGACGTCACCGTCAGCGAAGCCTGTGGCAGTCAGAGGAGCTTGTAGCGATCAGGTGGGGAGCCCCAATAAAGCGATGAATTCGGTGCCCCAGTCCTCCGGGTTGTTTTTGTAGTAGTTGGGGTGAAGAAGGACTCGGATGGTGTGACCAGGTGGGTGCTTTTGGGACTCGAGTGTTTGTGCAGGCTTACTGTAGATGGTTCATCCGCCGGGATCGCCCTCTGAAGGACCTACACTGCTGACACTATAGTTTGCCTCAATGATGAATCTGCGAAGCGAAAGCATGCGAAAGCATCCGAATGGGCGTATACATGATTTTTTTTCAGCACACTTGAACAGATAGCTGTTCGTAGCCGACGCTGTTCCAAACAAGAAAAAGCGATGTTCCTCTTTTTGTAGCACACTGAGCAAACGAGCCGATGACTCGTTTTGAAGGCGGAAAAAGTCATTGCTGTCCAATCTCAAGCTGAGGTGGATGAAGAAGTATCAGATCTTTCGTTGGTGGTGCTTTCATCCAGTGGCCGTGAGAAAAACAAGGCTGGGGGGGCCTGACTTGCTTGCCTATACCGAGAATTTGTGGTGTCTAGATCTTTCACTAGGAACAAGTGCCTTACTAGTAGTAACAAGAAGCTACTAGTAACAAGTGCATCGCTACTAGTAACAAGTGCATCGCTACTAGTAACAAGTGCCTTACTAG